GCTACAACCCAAACACTTTTAATTATTAGAAAAATGTTAACTTCAAAGTTATAGATGACAGGAACATGAAAGCTAAAACAATTTATTTGCTATATGATTTACCATAATTATATTGTAATATAACATAACTGAGAACAGAATACGTATTCTTAAATATAAAGACGCATCATTGCGTGTTATGTTTAATCTCAAGTTTGAATCTTACGAAGGAGATCTATGAAATTGTCTTGTCCGTCCGCCGCTCTCGGCGTACCAATTAATAAAATTCGACGACCGGTAGGAAATTAATCACTGAAACTACTCCAGGCTCACGTACTCACATTGGGTAATAGGGTGCGTCGACCGGAGCCACGGTTAGGTAACACCTTTGTGTTAACCGTGTGATGGGGCCTTTATACGGACCGATGGACGCTGGGTCCGCCGACGGCGCATCGAAATGCAATCATAATGACCGATGCCCTGAATTGTAACAATGACATTTTACACTCCCGACATGGTGAGTACATTCCCCCTTCAAGTGTTGAGGGGATCGAAGCAATGGACGGCTATTTAATGAAGCGCGGTTCCGTATAGTCATTTAAAGCTCACGCGTAATTTAAATCTAACGGAGTAAACAGCTAACCGCGCTTACTTCATTCAGTAACGTGACAAGTGATGAGCCTGTTGCAGTTCACTGGGTCAAGAATATGAAGCGGTGTAAGTATGATTGAAAAAATCGACAATGTATTCGAAAACGACACCGGGAGCCTGCGACTTAACATCGTATTTCCGACCTCCCAACATCAAGGTCCCTGAATTTTATTTAATTAGCATTGATAAGAAGCTCATAGTTATGTTTATGACTAAATTAAAATTTTATTAGTACTATATCTGTTTTCCTTGGGCGTCTGTATCATGCAAACTCCAGGTTTTGTTTCGCCTTTCTGAAGTCTTAATTCAACACTTATAGCTTCCCTCAATTTTGGATCAAATCCTGTGAACTGGCTTTAGTTGCTTCTTCTGAAATACGTACTTGAATATTTCAGAAAATCAATTCAACCTAGAAACGACGTCGAAATCAGAAAACCGTTGTTAGTTGTCACGACAATGAAACGAATAAAGATAAAACCGTCTTAACGATGAGCGTTTGCCTTAATAAACAATGATCGCCGAGTAAATTCTCGGCAGAGAAAGCAGTAAACTCTCAGATGTACACGGCGGACTCCTTAATAGCGAACAGTGGAACGTAATGATTGGTTTTCACGTTTAAACGCTATTAAGGTTGTAATTCCATCGACGAATGATGTTTTCATTGTGAATTATCGGCTGCGTAGATAGTGTGTGTACGGTGTAAGACGCAGCCGCATACCAGATTGCGGTTACGCACGCCATCTTCGCTGGTAACGCGTCGCGATAGAAGCTAAAATCGTGTGTGATTTTCGACTAGGTCCGCCCGGGCTGCTTGGACGCCTGTACCTATCTTAATCAGTGGAAGATTCAAATAGGCCCCCGGGTGTCCAAGGTAACCTCCGAAAGGCGTCTATTAAGGGCGGAGAGAATTGTAATGAAGTTGTATGTTGCGTAATCATTGTACTTTTGATCCAATGAAGTGGTCCACTATTGACAGCAGAATTAATTTTGTATTCTCTATAGTTTGCCTCTTAAAAATAATATTATTTCTTCTTATTTTTATCAAAGATCTGTTGAAGGCCTTGTTTATTCAAGGTTATATTATGGAAATTTTGATGACACGTCTGCAAATTAAAATTGTTTCAGTAACGAAGGTACTGTGAGTAAAAATACACAAAAGAAGCCCAATTTTCTAAAGGTTGTCAACGCATCTGTAACTCTCGGGTGTAGGGGATGTCCGTGGGCGACGGTACTTCACATCAGGTGAACCGTCTGCTCGTTTGGCATCTTTTCACATAAAAAACGACACGCTATTAGGAAGTATTAGTATTTATCAGGTCACGAGAGTCTGTTGTATGGTTATTGGATTGATTTTAACTTTATCTCGTGCGTCACGGAAAAATTGTCTTCCATCTCAAAGAGATACAATACGGTCATGCTATCATTCAACAGTTTTATCTAAGTGTGATCGATCAAAATCTTGAAAACTTTGTACCAAAATAAGACCTAATGAGAAAACATTGTCAATGGATAAGAGGTTTCTTAGCGATTATATGAAATAGTTCTTGTCATATGTTTCAGGGTTACTTTGTAGGTAACCTTGAAACACATACAGGGTTACCGAAAATATGTCTTAAGATTGTCTTAAAGATGTCGTAGAGATTTTCTTTTCTTTCTAATCATAAGTATATTCTTTTTGTAAACTATTTATTTATACATGTGATATAATATTGGGTTCTTTCTTTGTTATTACTAAGCCCGCAATGTGTTCAACGATTGGAGTATGAAATGAATGGCCTCTATTTATATTTATCATGATATTACAACTTTTATTTTGAGTGAACAAACTGAACAACATTCATGCGTTAGTCTAATTATTCGCGTAACTACAATGGTCGTGTAATATCGTTGTAACGTGCAGCATTTGTTGATGGTATATTTTCAAAACAAAGCTAGAACAGCGGAAACTTATCTATTACTATAGATAAGTTTAAAAAAAACCGGCTCTCCATTTATTACTATAAATCGAGAGCCGGTTTTTTTGTTCGCTTATACTAAACTACTGAATCGAACGGAATAATACTTATAGCATAAGTTGCAACGTGTTTCGTTGAAGGTTTTAGTATATAAATTATTTTTATATCATGCAAACTAGCCGAGCTATAACAATTTTCGCGCATGACGTCGCGGGCGCAGTGCTTGTACGCTATGACAGGTAGGTTGGCCGCTTCAATTCCCAGCAACCTAAATTCACACATGCCTTGGAACCTGTAATAATATTTTCGTTTTAATATCGCCCATAAAAGTTGCGGAAACAGAATATATATAATATATACATAAATATTTGGCCGGCCTCCATAAAGGCCTTTTCAGTACAAATCAAATCGTAATCTTCCGACAAGAACCGACGCATATTTTTTCAGATGCTAATGACGAAACACTAATCCGTGCTTGATTTCGAATACGCTGTGGCGCTAGGTTTCGTGATAATTTTTTTACGACCGAGTTTGTAGCTCTCGGTGGTTTTACTTGCGCGCGCAGTTGGTGAAGATATTACTGTCACTCGTATCATCTATCATTTCATGCGCATGCTGAAACACGTGAACATACTTCATGCATTAACATGCTTTCCGTCCAGTTATCATTCCAATCCAGCAGTGAATCACGCGGAAACCAGTTCACGTTATATATCGGTAAATCTAGCATGCATTCAGGCAACGACGCAGTGACGTCATTTTTCACGTCCGCAGCCAGCTTGGTTGACAGCGGATGTAAAGGCAGACATAAAACAAGGCAGCAAGTAAACTTACCTCGTTTGTTACTGGCATAACATAGCTTATAGTCAATAGACGGTATTAAGCTTCAAAGACTGCGTTTAGTTTGATAGGGTTGTCACTCCAGTATTTGCCCCAAGTCTCGTCACGGCGTTTTTTTTATTTTTATGTGAAAGTTGTCAAGCGATCGGGCGGTTCATCTGATGTTAAGTGAATATCGCCGCCCATGGACATATGCTACACCCGAGGGTTTGCAGATGTGTTGACAAATTTATTGAAAATTGGGCTCCGGCTACCTCACGACGAAACGCGAAAGTATTATACTTCCACTTCACGCTGGTCTTCTGCGAGGTAGGTCGTGGTACCTACCCGGACGAGGCTGCCCATTCGTGCAACAGCAGAGGCTGCTGCGTGGGCCTACCACAGATAAATTTATTATTACGATCGGTGTAAATATATAACTATATATAAGGGACACCTTATATAATGTGGCAACATTAGATTGGGTGCAATGCGAAACTATACGCGTGCGTTTACGGATCAGCGTCGTAATCAGAGCGTACGCTGCGCTTTGCTCGCGGGCGCAAGGTCGCTCCGACGTGCACTGTCGCCGGGCGCTTCGTGTCGTGTTTTTATTTTTCAACCGACTTCTAAAAAGGAGGGTGTTCTCGATTCGAATGTATTTTTTTACGTTTGTCACCTTAGAACTTTCGAATGAACTGATTTTGATGATTCTTTTTTTATTTGAAAGCCGGTGCTTCGCATGTGGTAACATATTATTTTATAATTTCATTGGTATTGGATCTTGGGCTCCGGAGATACTTAGGGAACTCCGGAAAATCAATTATAAAATGAATATGAAGAGATATTTGAAGTCGGTTTTGTTTTTCTTTAATAAAAAAATGGATTATTTATTTTTGAATGACGTTTGAAATTCGTAATATTTCAGTCAGTAGCTTTATATATATATTACTCTTCTGTGTGTGTGTGTGTATGTGACTGTAGGAAGAGAAATAGATAATATTACAAAATTGTAAAAGAAAACGACCCTCAAAGTTATGATGCAAACGAACATATGTACAAGAGTCATTCTAAATTAATTTGTGCAGCGAGGAGATAAAGACACATTTGAAAGTGCCTAGTCATTTGTCTCAATGCATATTTGATAAATTAATCTTGCGTAACGTCGACTTAGGCTGACGCGGCTACGCCCTATCGTTAGTTATAGTACCGAACCTAGTAACAGCCTAATTGGATGCAATGCAAACACAATGGCGGCGTGTAATAATTGTAGGTAGAATAAAATAGTTGCAAATGCGCGGCCATTGTGACACTACGGCTAGCCGTGGATCACAATGGGCTTTCTCGTATCTGGGTCGTAGGTGTTCAGGCGGCCTTGCGGGTTCCGTGGGTGGACAGTGTCGCACCGAGACTGATCTATAGGTGTGCGCTTAGCCGATGGTGTGTGGCAATCAAGTGCAAACTCTACTTCTAGTTGTGTTGTCCATTTGCATCACAACTAGCTTTTGTGTTTGTCGTACGTCGGGTATCGTCTGTTTATTTCTTTCTACAAAACTGACAGTAATAGCAGATTAACAATTACCAAAAGAATCGCGAATGATTGGTGTCCAGTCGATGGTAAAACATCAGGCTGAGGTAAGTTTTTACAAACAACAACGATAAAAAAATACCTCACAAATACTCAAATCTGGTCACAATGTCGTTAACAAACTAGTAACACCATCCCGCTTCTACTAAAGCTGGAGATTTCGTCATTTCTCGTTCCTCTTACTCCTCGATTCTCCGCATATGATCAATCAATATTAACCACCCAATGGTACACATTTATCACATTAACTTACTGTTTCAATAAGTTTTTTCAATCCGGAAATTTTGGTTTTATTTGTCAACGTTACGTACCCTTGACCGAAGCTCCCTGGTCACGGAACATAATGTGCTCTTTTACGTCTTAATGTCCTAGTGAATCGGAGGTATCGGCAACTTTTTAATAATGTATTTTGTCCGATTGATAATTCATTTCTCCGAACCACATTAAACGCGTGAAAAAATCCCTAAATTAGGTAGTTAGGTTCGACGTTTTTTTTCTTATAAAACCTTCTACGAACCGCAATAAAACCTACGCTCGGTTTACAGCTTTAGCGACTGTTTCGAGAACGAGGAAAGGCGGAAAATTTGAGCCGTTAAAGAACCAACATCCGATAATCCGTTAAACAGCCATCGTTGGGACGAAACGTGCGGCGCAATGGCCGCGGCGTGCGTGCCTTTGCGGTCAGCTGCTGCGGTGTCGGTCGGGAAAAACTAGACGCGCGCATCCGGGGTTCGGAACTCGACACCCGACAAGACGGTGACCACAAGGGGACTACGTGCCGCCGTCACCTCCACGAAGCGAGCTCCTTGTCTATCTATAGACACTCAGTTGTCTCCCTTCCTTCATCTAGTCTATGGATGTTCAATTGATAATGCGCGAGGCAAAAAATTACATGCATTAAATTAAACTAGTGACCGGCCCGGCTTCGTACGGGTGCATTTTTTAATATATATAAACCTTCCTCTTGAATAACTCTGGTAAAAAAACCGCATCAAGATCCGTTGCGTTTTAATGATCTAAGCATACATAGGGACAGACAGATTGCAGTGCGACTTTGTTTTATACTATGTAGTGACTAATATTATATTTTAAATATTTTAAAAAGCTTCATTTGTGTTTATAAAAGAAGCTACATTTGTTTTTATATATAAATAATAATTATTATTTATATATTGGCCCCGAAAATAAGAATACAAAGGACGTAAGAAATAAAAATAAACACCAGCTTAAATAGTTTCAATAAATAATAAGCTACTAAGGAAATAACTCTTAAGCAAAATGATACACAAAAAACATACAAATTAAATAAAGACTAAATTATTAATAAGCTCAGTGTTTCCACGAGAAATTTTCCCAGCGCTGATCTTCAGCTCATCCCTTACTACAATTACATAACGACTGTGGCTTTCGATTATTTTAATTACGTATCTGTTTGTCTTATAATGGGGTTACATTTCTAATAAAAATAACTATCAAACTGAAAAGAAAGATTTTTGACCGATGCTTGACGCCAAATATGTATGCAAATGGGTTGATTTTCATGATATGATAAAATGTTTCTAACACAAAATAGGTATTACCTAAGTGTATAATATTAATTTTCCCATTATTAAAATGAAAATTCATGCAAAGCCGGCCTAACTAAAATTGCTTAAAGTTCAAAAAGCACATACTGCATAAACTTTTATCTTTTAAGTTTTCTATCCGTTAGTTTCATTATAAGCCGTTCCTTCGAATAACTTTACGCGACGTCATTTACATACATAATTATGTTATCAATCTTGTGCGGTAGTTACGTTTTACAAATAATATATTCATTAACATAGTACATAGTGACCGATAAATGTTCAATTCACAATTTCATGCATAATTTGATCTTAGTTTCCTTATTACTGCCGTTTACAATGTGAGATTCCTTGGTTTGTATAGTATCGTTCGTCTTGATTTGATAATATTGTAAAACGTACAGTGTTGCATAATGTTATACGACGGAAAGAGCAAACCATACACTTTCTAGCGAAACTAGTATACAGAAGTGCACTACAGTACAAAGTGATACTGATATAATCAACACATAACCATCTGTATTTACGTTCTATTCATAGGCGAATGTAAATAAATTTGCATTCTAGATATAGATAAGCTTGCTTGGAAAGAACTAATTTTCCTATTCCTCATTAACAAGGTTCCATAATCGTTATTTTTACTAATTCAAATTGCAAATGTGCAATGGAGAAAATGAGTACTGCCTGTTGTTAACTTTTATTATATATTTCTCAAAAAAAATAATTTATTTTATTTCCTCTCGGTAAGGCATCTTACATCATACAGCCACGTGAAATTAAAACATTTTTATATGGAAAATCAAGCATGTACTTATTTAATGACAGAATATGCATCTGACCCTTTTTTGCTCATAATTCTAGTAAGAGGTACTTCGGTTTTAGATTCAGATTGTTATTCGGTGGAAAAAACGATAAAGAGAATAGTTATTATGCGTGTCGTTACCATTGCGACAATAAATGAACACACGTCTAACGCTACTAGCCAATAATCATAAAAAAATATAAACGTTAAAAAATCCTTAATTAAAAAACTATTTTTCGAACAAACTAATTAAATAAAAAAGAAACAAAATTTGTAACAGCCTATACAACCTCAACTGACTGATTCATACATTCTGAGACTTTTTCATTCATTGTCACAGCGTCGCATTACAAGCCTCTGCTTCTAACAGTATTTTTTGTCTCTTTTAAATCAATTCAACCCATTCATATGCTTTGTGACCTTTACAAATGAACTTTACGTTACAGTTTTATACGTAAGGCTGTTCTAAAATTGTTTGTTTTGGAAAATTTATAACTCGGAAAATATTGATGTTTAAAGAATGTAAATGTTTAATACAGTTTTAAAAAGTTATCCTCTATATGTGTGTTCATTTATTGTCGCGGTGGTAATGACACGCCGTATATTGGTGTCCTAGAGAGTCCTTCACGTGAGGTTACTGGCTCCCTTGCGTGTTTTCTTCCTTCGGCCACCATGTAGTCATAAATTAACACTTAGTTTATCATAATCCTCTCAAGTATAACATCAATATAGGCGGACCCAGTTACCCCAGCATATCCGGCCGATACGACTGAGAGCTACAAGAAGAGAGCCTACTCCTCCCCAAAAGGCCGGCAACGCAATTGTGACACCATCGATGTTGCAAGCGTCGATGGGCGGTGCTCGCTCGCCATTACGTGGCCCGTCAATTCGTTTGCCCTCTTTTTCCATGAGAAAAGCAAACGACGTTTTCGCTTTCAGCCCTAAGTTCGATGGAAGCTTCGACAGGGCACCGCGTAAAGCCATCGTTTTAAAACGCTCCGCCCTGGCGCGTCGGAGCGTCGCGTCGCCGCAACCGCATCAATCGGCGGCCGCCGCATTTTTGCCACCTGACCAATCGCCCGTGAAACTTCACCGCGTCGCGTTTACGGCTTCGCATTTTTGAAGCGCTCGGCGATTGCTTCCGTTAGGGTCGGCGATGCCCGATTAGAAGTAAATTAATAAAATGAAGTAGTAATTAGTTGTTAACAGTCGGTCATCCCATATGATTTTTTTTTAAATCTTTTAGAGTTCCTGTTTATAACTCCTACTTCTTCAAATAGTGCGTTGTTTGTCTGTGAGATGGTGCTCAAGTTTTTTGTAGCATAATAACATCTATATTATGATCTTTTTTGCATAAGTTGAGTAATTAGCATCATTGACTTGTCCGACAACAAAAAGCGAGGTGCTCTTGAAACTAAATGATTTACACTCTATTCACTTAATTTTTATTTATGATGATTATCAATGATGCATATCGTATAACATCCACGTCCTAAAGTTCTTTGGAAAACTTTCTTTTTAATATCACTATTCACCTAAATTAATATTAAATATCTTTGAAGCGAATTACTAATAATAATATTTACACGAAATACATTGCGTGAGACGCATTGATAGTGATTATTGCATAATCTGCAGCATATTTTGGCACAGCCCTGCTGATTGAACGAGTTGAGATTTGTGCGGTTGACAAAAACGTTGACCTTGAAGTTTTTTTTTTTGCTTACGCTGCAACGGTAATGCGCGAATAATTACGGAGCCGGCGCTGATGGGGCTCTCAGATGAGCCGGAGACAGGCCGGAATTAGTCTTCGATGAGAAAAAACGTTAGCTAGTAGAACCGCGATGGACTTTAAGGGGAATTCTAGAATATTCGGTCGAGGTCGTGTACCGACGACCGTTCTAAAGTCGTTGCGAGTAACATGTTTGATGAAAGTTGTCCATGCGTTCTAGTCTAACGATGTTTGCTTTCAGTCTCTGTGATGGAACCATTAGATTGTTCAAGGTTGTCGAGTTAGTATTAGTCTGATCGGATATAATCGCTACGTAGTTTGGTAAACAAATTGCTTACCATGGAGGACGAAAAGGAATATCTTAAAATAAAACTTCTATATAGCTCTCGAGAAATAATTCGTATATATATCAAATGCGTATATATATTCGCAGTGATTAATTAAAACTGATTCTACGTATTATTGATAAATATGTATCATGTCTATACGTGTATATATCATAGGGCTCGGATCGACTTCAACACGATCTCAAAGGGTTATAAAGTTTCCAACCAAAATTGAAGTTATCAAGACATGCCAATAGTCAATACTTTTCTGCGCGTAGCGTCTGCAGACGTGGAACGTCCCACTTAATATCAGTTGGGATGGCAATCAAGTGCTAGAAAGTTCTGAATAAAAAAAAAAACGTTAATTATTTCGTCTACCAAACGGCCGACAACCCCGATTAGCCGCGGTTGAAATTCTCGTTCCACCCGGAAGAGGCGTCGGGAGGCACCTAACGGTCTGTCATTTGGTCTTGAACGAAACGCGGCTCGCCCTTCGCGACGTCAGCGGCCAGCCGCGAAGGAGTGTTGTATTGATATTATGTATTATTTAAGCGATTTATCTCGATGTCGATTACATGATAATATTAGGTAAATAGCGGTGGTAGGATCGTGGACATTGCAAATGCTTAATCACCACATTCATCGTGCGGTTACCGTGTCTGACCTGACACACCCTCATAAAGGCTACACAATTGAAAACCCCACGTATACTGTAGATGCCCATGAGTAGCGACAATAGCTTTTTAAGGAGAATTTTCCGATCGTTTGTCGCATTCACTTCTTCTCTTGCTATCGACTTTTTACCTTCAGTAAAATTTACAACAGTTTACAGGCCCTACCTTTCAGAAAAGAACTTTATGTTACGTTTCATCGTCGCATTCTTGTGTTGCAATCGTCCGTATGCGATGATGAATGCTTAGTTAGTCAAACCGCTTGTATGCACCTCACTTCTTTCTTCAGGAAAAATAACTGTCGATTTAGGAGAAAGTAAAAAAGTAACTACCTACCTACTTGGGTATCTACTTCACTCGTGTTTTCGTTCTTCTCCGTGACTTCTCTTCACTTTTTGTCTTTTTTATGATTTCTTCTTCTTCTATTAATTTCTTTGAGGCTATTCGATGTTTATCGAAATTAAGACTATATTATGTATCTTATTGAGGATAGTAAAAATCTGTAAACTCTTCCTATCCTTCCGAATGGCATAAGTGAGGCCTTCATACAAGTTGAATGAGGGGATCGTATAGTGTAGAGGGGGGTCGTATAGTTCTTTCCTCGTCCTTTTCTTACTTGGTCAAATTAAGCCCTCTAGACTGGCTCAGCCCGCGAAGTACGGCTGCAAATTATGTCTCCACCGGAATACTAACCATTAACTCATTGCTATAATTTACAATTGCCCCTATCCGTCTCGCCGCTTCGTTAAGGACCTGAGATTACGTTGTTAACAGTATCTACTGGTTACTATTTATAATATACAGTAGTGACGGTATACATTGCTTCGATTAGAAACCTAAACTGATGTTATACTCAAATAATTTTGTATACTTGTCTGTCATTAAAAAAATAAGAGATTCATCAAGGCCGCAGAGTTTCTTGGCGGCTCTTCTCTGCTCAGGTCTAGTTTAGTGAACCGGTGGTATGGTATGGATTTTTGACGTTCAATAAGAGCTTAAATTTTGACTAATTTAAACAAATCATAAGCTGAATATGAAATTTAAATAGTCAATATGGAAGATATAAAACCATCAAACATTAATTCGTTGCCTTTGCCTTTCATTAAAGGTTAAAGATGTTGATGATTGATGTTATCTCATAAAAGTCAACGTATGCAAGGCAATTTTATTACAATTATAAGAGGTTTTAATAGTTGAAGTGGTTGGAGTGCGGATTTTGTTATGTGTTTTTATATATTTGCGTCCATTAGGCGGCCATCTTCAGCGTAGATGTCAGATAAAGCCGGGGTCGACGGATTGCGTGTGCGCTTTCGCAATTACGAAGCGATCGCTGCGTTTCAATGTCAATGTCGCTCTCGATACGGCCGCGCTCTAAGAAGCCGCCTGACCAACTGATTGCAACTCACGATATTTTCTTTTTTATCACCCGAGACTATTATATGGCTTTAAGTGAGAATGTTACGCGCTTGTGATTGTAAATGTATCTTCGGACATGCTGTCTGTAATTTGCTTGTGTTTGATTTTATTGGTCCTCTAAGAGTTGCCGCTTTATAATCCTATGCTGCCGCAGTATGTTTCATATCTTGTTCGTCTGTTAGTACGTGTATTTGCTGGACAGCTTATGCTGTCCATAATTGATTAAAATTGCTATGTCGTTTCTATTGATTTTTAGATACCTTTGTTTCCACTTTCTCTTCGTTATGAACTGGCTAATATATAACTAGCTCCTCATCGCCTTTAAACTTTTTAGTGGTTATGTTTAATTTTCAGTAAGATTTATCGCATTGAATATTTATATGGGAAAAAATCCGAATATCGATCGATAAAGACTATAACACCTACGTGCGTTACGCAGCAGTTCGCGGTTCTTATTCTACCTCTGGACTGACTTTCGAAGCCACTTGACTTCATCGATTATGCACTCACGCTTCGGGGCTTAGGTCAGTAGATCATCTTCTGTCGATGGCATTCCTGTTTACGTACTTGACACTGTTTTTCGATAAATACGCTAAATGTCAATTGGAACATTACGCGTGCACATCGTAGCCACAGTGTTTGAACATAAAATGAAGTCAAGAATGGAATGACATCCCGCCCCGAGCGTCCGCCAGACAAAGGTGGAAGGAGAAAGAAAACGATGTGTAATAATAAATAACGTACCTACATGTAACAATATGTTGACAAAGACCTCCTAGGTGTAATAATTTATATATGGAGGATGATAATGAAAAAGATGACTATGGATTAAATATAGGCAATATAGCTAATAAATAATTTTCTACGTATTTACCCAAATAGGGTCAAAGGCCGTGAGAAAGAAACTCATACGGGGTTGACAGAGATGTTTGATATAGCATTGTTTCCAATCACGAATTTAGAAAAGGCCCGTAGAGACGCTAATATTATTACAGTAGAGGTGATATTTAAAGAAAATACTGTAGTAAATTGGTGTTGGCATTTAGTCATACCTTTCCAAAAGATCGTTGATATTGAAATTACGTAAAATATTGTTATTTTAATGGACTCCGTAAAAAAGGCGATGGAAATAAATCACATCTTTTGGGAAATTATGTTTAATATTTATGATTTTAACTCACAGCACAGCGAACCAAAAATACTACGAAAAGACCATGTCGTTTTATGAAACACTTAAAAAAAAATACAAGAGTTTTATTGTAATAGAGTCATCGCGTGCGGTCTTGCTCCGATAATCTCGAATACGCCACTAGATGCTAATTTATGTTCGGATTTCGTTTGAGTACCCCTTTTTTATCTAATGTTTATTTTAAATCTCTTTATACGGTCGACGATCATGGGAACTCCTTTTATTGTTAATAAATTAACACGATACGCGCCTCTCCACAGTGCAGGTGAAATTGATGCCATAAACTAAAGATAAAAGGCAGTGATGATAAAGATAAAGACGAACATCAGGTCACAGACATCGGTTGCCTTTTGTTTAAAAGGTCCATTAAAAGTGGTGTGAAATAACACATTGATGAAATAGTCGTTAATTATAATAGTAAGACATGTGTGATCGAGTTGTTGTTCCGTAATGGAGCTTCTAAATTATAAAAAGTCTTTAAGTGGCACGATAGATATCTAAGTAAGTTGGCAGAATGAAATAATCAGTAGTTATTGATATCGTATATTATTTATTTATGTATATTTATTAAGTATTTGTGAATATTATAGTATATGTATTCTATTTTGTATGCTTAAATAATGTAATATATTTTTGTTATATTGGGTTTAATATGTTTATATACTTTATATATTTTCATGTATATGTCTTAAATTTATGTATATATGAATATATATATAACTTTTGTTTTAAATTAAAATTTGGTTTGAAACTTTTTACACCTGCCTCTTTTGTCTCTGCGTCGCC